CTTTCGATATTTCTTAATAAAGAATATTATTCTCTTTCGAATGTTGAAAACCGCAGGTCTCTAGCTGCTTCCTATCCGGAGTTATTCAACTTACAACCGACTCCATTGTTCATTGAAATGGATAGTAATAATCGCTTATTTGTGGTGTTTTTAATGTTTTACTCATATCAATCCTCAATTTAAGTCTTAAACTTAAACAGTCCATTGGTCAGCGTAGATTTGAGTTAAGATTGGCGTATAGTTACATGACGTTAAGCTTTCTTCAAATCACCATCTCCAAACATGTGTAACTAATGCGCAAGCACAAGGAAATTGCGAAATAGGACGTTTTCATACTTATTCGTTTCAACTAAATAAGTAGAAAGTTACATGAAAAACCATAATACGAAAGGGAAAGTGAATGTGTATGGGAAGACATAGATTTTCACTTTTGCATTCATCTACTTTTAAAATTGCATTTTTATCTTCGAAAGTGGTTGTTTGTGCCTTGTTTCTACTAAATGATGTATTAAGTTCTATATTCCAAGTCTTTCGACTCGTCGTTGCTTCTTTACATAGATCAGTTGTATTAAATATTATCCGTTTTGTAGATGAGCTTGGTTGCTTATACTTTATCGGATTCTGATGAAGACAAACAGAACTGTGTGAATTTGGATAGCAAGAAGACAACTACTCAATCACAAACACTTAATTCGGTTGGAAACAAAAAAAGAAAAATGTCAGTCTCAAAAATCAAGTATTTCTCTACATTTACAATTTCGAATTTTTGTCTCAGATTGCCATCTGTCAAACTTCATCTTTCGAATGAAGTTGACTATTTCGAAACAGATCATGTTGATAACACGAACGAACATGATGGACGAAAAAGGTTATTTGCACATGAACGAGGCAATTGGGCAACATCCATATTTGCATTTGGTAAAATTTAAATGAGAATACTTTCATTCTTTCTTTGTTTATTACATTCAACTCATTTTAGTGTACTGTTCGTCTCATATGGATACGTTAATTGACGATTATATCGATCTAATGAATCAAATGTTAAATAGTAACAATGATGCACCAACCACCATGTGGAAACGAGTCAATGAACTTCATGTTAGTGTTTCAAAAACATTTCCAGTTCGTTACCATCATATTGAAGCTTTAAGAATAACAATTAGTGAAGAGTTCAAATCATTTGAAAAGTAAGCTGTTCTTAATTCTTATTTTTTATTTTAGGATAAAAAAGCGGAAAAAGATACAGAGAACATTTCTTTTACGTTATTTTAATAGTCCAAAGTATAATCTAACATATTTCTTCAATAACTGCAGAGCTGACTTATCTTTTCAGATTTTCCTCTGCCATTTCAAATATTGATATATTAAGCAATGAAGATGGCTCAACGTAAGTGAGAAGACAATTATTGTGTCTGTTTCATGTAAATATTTCATACTTGTTTATAGATCTTTTCTAGTTTTTACACTTGATCAGTGCAAACGTTATTCAGATATTGTCAAAAAAGTCGACAAAGCTCTAGTTCAATATCGACTACCGGTTTACTATGAGGTAACTTGCTATTCGTGAATTTATGCAAATATGTGTATAAAATTTTCTTATTTTTTATAAAAAAGAATCCGTGTTTCCATACGAGTATAGCCTATATTGCAGGTGACAAACGATATTTAATGACAAACGAATGGAAATTAAAGTGTCAGGTGAGAATTATTCGTTTTAATTGGTAATTGATAGCTGCTATTGTGCATCATTTTTTTATCTGTAGGCACTATTGAATGAATATAACTGCATTCCAAGTGCGACAACGATTTCAATTGAAGATATTCGTTTAAAAGCTGGAAATCGTGTTTATCATTTGTTCGATGATAAAAGAACTTGAAACTGTATTGAACAAAAGGAAAAACAATTCATCATCTAAGATTTGTTTCACCTTTTGTAAGCCTATTGTACGAGTCGAGAATCTTTCGACTAGTACGACGGAATTTTTTTAATTTAAAACTACTCGAATTTTTCTTTGTCACTGTATAGTCAGAGGAAAAAGATGATAGTTTTGAAGAAGTAAAACAAGCATGTTTTTTTTTCTCAATGAACAAAAAAAGATGCTCATAATATAATTAAAATACTGTTTATTTGAAGTGTGGACTAAGTATTATGGGATATTGAAATAATATATATTTTCTGTTAGAATAACTGTTTGTTTTGGAAAGCATGTTTTACACAAGTCAGTTTTATAAGATTGATAATATAAAAGTCATATTTCCTTATTCATAAAATAACAATTTTAAAGATTCTCAGTGCCTTTATTTTTTGTTTACTAAACTTTAGCTAATGTTTACACAACAGAACGCGAATGACAATTTTTCTTTTTCTAGCATTTATATGTATTTTATTATTTAAACACAATGACGCTTCCGCCACCATCTTCTGTTCATGATTCTAACATTAGAAAACCGACATTTCTCAATTTTATTAAATATCTAACCCGTAGACGTGAACTTCGATATGGTCTCGGTTACGGATCAATTATATGTGGATTTGTTGTATTTATATATCCAGAAATAAAACGTCGTAGACAAGATTCACTCAACGATGAGATGATGAGATATTACAATAAACTACAAAAAAAACAACAGGAAGAATAAACTATTTAATTACGATAGAGCGATACATAATGATTGTTTTTTAGTTATAAAATTTTTTTGGTGATACTTAGAATATATTTTGTTTTGGCATTTTTCACTTTTTCTACTAGTGTTTTATTTTGGACTACTAGTGTGTCTGTATCCCTAAAACTATTTGTTAAAAACGAGCTTAACTAGTTACTTAGACATAAAAGAAGCTAGTCGAGTATAGTCATTTTGTAATTATCAAGTGAGATTTTTGATTTTCAGAAGTCGCTGAGTTTGATTTTAGAAAAACTTCCATTGCAACCTGATTTATTATGTTTCGTTTATTTTCATTGTTTCAGAGGCGATATATAACTGGTTATTTTTTTAGCAGTCTCATCGTAGGGTAGCCTGTTTTAAATATCTCTGTATAATCAAAATGATTTTTGATAAAGTTGTGTCACGAACCTACTCCATTCAGCTATATATTCATTTTTTGAAGCAGAGTCTTTTTTTTTCTCTCTGTTTTTGATAATATGTCGTTTGATAAAACTATAACATGTCAATTTCAATATGAAAATAACGTTGACCTCGGTGTTCCATCTGATATTCCACTAAATACAAATATTCGTCAATTAAATGTTATTGTTAATGCATTAGCTAAAATTCAACAACAGACAACAAATGAAGACACACCGTATGCATTCTACATTGATGAAGTTGAAATTACAGAAACCGTTGAAAGATATATTGAAGAAAAACTAAAGAAAAAACAAGGAGTTGCTGGTAGTGCTGATGATACATTTGAGAAAACATTAACAATTACTTGTATTCCTAAAGCACGTTTTCATGTTATACCGGTTGAACGTTGTACGGCGACGATTGAAGGACATTTAGAAGCTATAACAGTTTTACAGTTTAGTCCCAACGGAAAATTGTTAGCATCAGGTAGCGGTGATACAACTGTTCGATTTTGGGATTTGAATACACAAACACCATTTGATAATTATGGGAAAGCACATCGACATTGGATATTGTGTTTATGTTGGGCACCAAATGGAAAAATCATAGCATCGGCATGTAAAGATGGACACATTGGACTATGGAATGGGTATACTGGAAAACAATTAGGTAACAAGATTTAGCTTTAAAATCTGGAAAAAAAGCTGGTAATTGGTTGATCTCTTTCATTTAGGTACAAAATTACTATCTAGCCATCGTCAATGGATAAATTCATTATGTTGGCAACCGTTACATTTAAATGGTTCATGTCGTCTTTTAGCATCTGCTAGTAAAGATACAACAATTAAAATATGGGATACTCATTTGTACAAAGTTGTTTATACTCTATCTGGTCATACGGCTAGTGTTACGTGTATCAAATGGAGTGGTCAAAATTTATTATATTCATCATCACAAGATCGTACAATTAAAGTATGGCGTACTACAGATGGTGTTCTATGTCGTACATTAGAAGGACATTCACATTGGGTAAACACACTGGCATTATCCACCGACTATGTATTACGAACGGGCTCGTATGAACCATCAAAAGAAAATGGAAAACAGCAGGATGAAGAAAATGATGAACATCAGTTACAAGCATTAGCCTTAGAACGATATGAAAATTTATTTCGTTCGCTAGAAAATGATAGTGAACGTTTAGTATCAGGTTCAGATGATTTCACATTGTATTTATGGAAACCAGAAACAGAAAAGAAACCAATTGCACGTATGACTGGTCATCAACAATTAATTAATGATGTTAAATTTTCACCTGATACACGTCTAATAGCATCAGCGAGTTTTGATAAATCAATTAAATTATGGTCTAGTCGAACAGGAACATATCTTGGAACATTACGTGGACATGTACAAGCTGTTTATCAAATAGCATGGTCATCGGATAGTAGATTACTTTGTAGTGGAAGTGCAGATAGCACATTGAAGGTAAATTGATCATTCTTTTACGTTATTGAAAAAATTTTACATTAATTTTTTTCCTATTTAAGGTATGGAATATTAATGAGAAACAATTGTTATGTGATCTACCAGGTCATGCCGATGAAGTTTATGCCATTGATTGGAGTCCAGATGGACAAACGGTTGCTAGTGGAGGAAAAGATAAAGTATTAAAATTATGGAAAAGATAGTTATAATTATATTTCTGTTTTATTGTTTTCTTGTTATATGTACAATATTTATAGAAAATACGTAGATCCATGAGATCTATGCTAAGAAAAATAGAGAATAATTGAAATTGAAAGAGTGATTTTCACTTTTCTTGGAGTAACATAATCATTTAATAATGGTAATACTATCTATCTGAAGTCCGTTATCATTTATTTGACTGAATAATAAAAATGACTCAATATTTAGTAGAACATTTGGTAAAAAATCAAAAGTATTTAATAAAAGTCTTCCAATAAAAATCTTTCTATATGATCATCTGTATACTTTTTTCTCGTTATTTGATTTTGGGAAAAAGTAACATCGTTCTAATTGTTAACTTTTAATAATTTGAATTATATACAGTTAACTATTATTATTTATTTATGGATAAGAGAAATTATTTATGTATGATAACCAAAGATATGGAAGACGTTTGTTTAATGATACTTGATGATCATAGAATGTCGACATTGAGATTGCGTACGCTAAATTCTCATACTAATATTAATTTCAATCAATTCAATTCAATCAATTTCAAATATAACCAACGTTTTTGATGTTGAACATTTAACTTTCGATTACTTTTGTATATGAATAATTTTCTGTAATTTCATAGTTTTATCATCTAGTTAAACTTGGATATTTAAATGTTAAAATACGGTACAGCAATTGTACGACTATGCTTAAAATGATTTTTCAATTACATCAATGATTTTGATGTTTCATGAAGTGAACAGATACAATTGATGAGGAAGTAGTAGGCTTTTTATATAAAGTCAATTATTTGAGTAATTTGTAAACGGATAATTTCGATAGTTAAATTGAATGGTTTGAATTTTTCTACAATTTATTAATTATTTAGTGGATAAAATTGTAGTAGTATATTTAAATGCACAAATTTCTTTAATTTTATCGTGTTCTATTTACAACCTCTGACATAAAAGATAAGTAAAATACATTGTCTCATTAAAAAAATTTATTCAAAAGACAAATTAATCAATCTTTACCTGTTTCAATTTTAGATGTAATTTTTATATTTTATTTTATTTATGTAAATAAAATATGATAAATCTGATCCGAATTTAGCTGATGGTTATTTTTACTCTTAATTTTGTTCACATTGTTTCCCTATATAAATATTTATATTGACATTTGATTTTTTTACCTTTTTAAGAAAACTAACGCGAGAACCTTTTGAGGTGTACCCCTCCGATTTCAATGGTATTTTACCCATAGATACTAAATAGTGGGCTAGTAAAAGCCTTAAAAGGATTCGAGCCCACATGCCTTTTTTAAAAAGTTATGAATTTTTTTATTTTTCGTCTGCAAAGTATTAGGTGAAATATTAAAAAACCATAGTTCAGTCAAAACACGGTGTGTACAGCTGGAAATTTTTTCTTTAATAGTCCCACACATCTATCGCAATCATGGAAAGTTTCAGCATTCCAACGTCATTATTTCCGAAGTTATAGAATTTTTCTTACTTAAGGAAAACTCGTGTGTTTCTGAATAGTCATATTTTTCGGTGCTAAGGTTTTGTTATAGCTTTTAACGCTTAAATTACATAATTGATGGGCCGTCAAAGCTATATTCATTCACCTCCGCTATGGCAATGTTTTGCAGTTAAAAATTCTTTCCTTTACTTCCATTTATTGTTTCTGTAACTTTTGTATTCTAGAACTATACAACTAAAAATATCAACGATTAAAATAACACCATAAAAAAGCTGTTGTAATGAAATAGCTTTAAAAAACTTAACGATAACAACTAGAATTAAATGTTAAAACAATTATAGAATACACAACAGTTAATGAACATGAGTATCCACTATTTCTGAAATTTTTATTAGTAACAACAGTGAAAAATGACTTTTCAGAAACACACGAGTTTTCCTTGAGTAAGAAAAATTCTATAACTTTGAAAATAATGAAGTTAGGACCCAAATCCTTTCAGGATTTTTAGTAGAACACTATATAGTATCTATGGGCTAAATATCATTAAAATCGCGAATAGGGACACCTCAAGCGGTTCCTTTATAAGTATGTTTATTTGTTACACGCTTTTGTCCTCTTATTATACAATGAGGATGCCATTTTTATTACTTTAACGTATTGCACATATTCCAGAAATATACACACGTGCTGATACCACTACGATTTTACAACGTCTATTTCTAGAACATCTAGAATGAGTGAAGCTGAGATGAGTTAGATAGTCGTTTGTAGTATTTCGCTTGACAAAGAAAGAGAACATAAAGAATAGAAAATGTACTGTGCTATGTGTATGAAAATGGTGCATTTGTATATTTTAGAAAATCGTAAAAAAAATACACTTTTCTCTTTAATCTGAGATGTTTCAAATCGCTGAACACTTCGCTCTTCGAAAATGAAAAGAAACAACATACACAAAACCCGTTATGGACTTTCGCTATAGTAGCAGAGTTAACTGACTAGGACAATAGTACAATTTATATGACGTCATTGTTTCTGTCTTAACAATGTTCGGACAATAGTTAAATAAGAGAAGTAAAAAGAATCATCCTTGAAATATAAAGAAATGATAGTGAAATTTTAAATCATCATGCCCTTTTATAACTAATTTATACCGTTTACTTCCAATATACAAAAACATTATAACTTTTTTTCTACCAAATGAACTTTGTTCATTTATCGTTGTTTTACCCAGCTTGACTGTGTTCACTGTCGCATAAAAAAGAATTTTATCTCACACTGATGATCCCATTTTTGTTCATTCAGATAAATTTCCTTCTATCTAAACAAGAACAACAGTGAAACATTAAGAAATATATGGGTTTGGTAGGCTAATCTTAGATCAACCTTTTGATAAGAAAAAAGAAAAAGTTCGATGCCTTTCTATTGAATACGGATATGAGAAAAAGTTTTTCAAAAAATGTGCATTTTACGCTTAAGAGGCAATATTTTCTTATCATTTATTTCACTTGTAATTCTAGACATATGCCCAACTGCTTGTACATAGCAAGTTAATTTTACAATTAAAGTGTTTTTAAAGAAGTTTTAGCACGAACTGGTCTTGTCATATAAAACTATCAATTTCTATATAAAAAAAACAAAATCTAAACTTATTCTAGTCTAATCGATTCGTCTCTGATAGACCGATCTTACTAGTTATTACATGAGTAATTAATGGTATGATAAGAGTCATAAAAAACTTAATTTTTGCACCGTTTATCTTAGAAAGTTTAAAAAAGAATCCAAGCAGATGTTATTATCTCAAATGGTATGTGATACTTATAGTTTTTAGACAACATCTATAGTGCTAAAATCACAATACGACTGTGAAATTCTTTTTCGACAAAACGAGATTTGTATGAATATAAAAACTAAAAGTCAGACTATTTTAATGATTTTAAAGACTCATAGAATACTATCTTTAAACTACTGTTTACTGTTTTCGATGATACTTCTGTGTTTTTCAAACTTAATTAATACCGTGATAGCGCAAACTACTCATATATGGCACTATACATTATCATGGATTCAAATACTTAATTCAATAAGTTGGAATACATATAATATGTATTTAGAAACTGACTCTGTTCAACACAATTCTTAAATTATTTCTAATATAAGTTCGCCTTAGCTTTGTATCTTTAAGGGCCACGCCTTCCTCAGAAAAAAAACTTTTTTGTCTTACATCCGATTTTGATGACACTTTCAGCAAATGTTTGCTATATCAAAGTGTGGTTATGAAATTTTTTTTACTCGCTATCTCTCACCGTTCCGGGATTTTCCAGAGTCCAAGGTCAAAAACCCATCCTCCACTGTGGGACACTTTTTTTAAATATACTTCAAGCTAGAGATCAAGGATTGATTTTATTTTAAACTAGACACCTAACCACGTGGGAGGTGATTTTTGATTTAATTCTTTGTTTATTTTCTAGAGATTCAAGCTGTTCAAAAATTCAAAAATTCTTTCGGGTTTTCTGGAGATCCTTGATTTTCTAGAAAACTAAGGTTTAATTCAAAAGTCCGCTTCCATCAGCCCACGCGGTTAGGTGTCTAGTTTAAAATAAAACCAACCAGAGATCTCTAGCTTGAAGTATATTTAAAAAAAGTGTCCCACACTGAGCATGTTCGAACAAAAAACGCGTTTTGAGAGAAAACGCTGTGCGTTTGTTGATCTAGTTTAGGACATGTAGGAAAATGCCTGTAATTTTTGAACGCAAGATCACACAGAGTTGCGCGACGTCTGATTTTGATCAGAAAAGTCTGCTCTCCAAATCTACACGTTCAGAAAAACTTTTACTTGCTTAAGTGTTCAGAAAAAGATTATTATTTTAAGATCCTAGTTTTCAAGGCTTCTAGAAAACTTGCTCGAAAACCACGAAAATCCAGTTCTAGGCCCAAAAGCGATCCAGATTCTAAAAGTAGACACTCTAGGCTATCTTTCCATGGGCTTGTCTACAAATTGATTTTTTGATACAAAAAGATTTCATTCTGAGGGGTGTCCTTAGATAAGATCGAAAAGAATGATTTTATCAACGAACATGATGATAAAAGGTTTTAAGATGGCGAAAGGAACGAAGAAGATCATGTTTAAACATTTTAATAATCTAAATAATATAGTACCCACTTTCCTTCTCCTCACGCACAGTTATTTTGTAATATTGTATGTTTTTTTTTGTCTTATTGTAATAATAAAAGTAAGACGTATGGACCTTCAAGTTTAAAAAGCCTTGATATCATATTATGATAAATGGTATATTCTGATAGCGAGGTACCTAGTACAAAAACAAAAAAAAAGCAATTAATTTTTTAACGTCAAGTTTGTTATCAAATTTTAGAAATAACATTTATTTAGATTAGTTACGTTGTTTTAATTATTTTTGTCAATATCGGATCCGTAGCCATAACTATTGATCTTTTTATACAATTTTATTAAATCCAATTTAAGTCGAACATCTTTTATAAATGTTGTCAATATCGAATCAAATAGCCGATGTATTTTGAATTAAATTGAAATATTTAGTCAATTGATATTAATTCAATATGATTATTTCATTAAATAAATGTGTGTTTTTCCTTGGACAAAAAAAAGTAAAAAGCGCTGTATAATATAGTAGAACAGATGATGACGCGTTTGTACTTAAATTGGTTTTTGAACTTATCATATGTTGGTGTGTGGCACATGAATAAAAACGTGTTTAATAATGCGTATATTGTTATATTCTAGAAAAAGTCGAACAAGGACATATTTTAAATTTGATTGACAAAAATCATTTATATTAATGTACTCTAGAGCTGGGCAAGCTAGGCTAAAAATGGCTTGACTTGGGAAATATTGTTATGACTCATGACTCGATTCGACTTAACTTGAAGATTTTTTGAAAAGACTTGACTTATAATTTAGGTTGATAAATCAAGTCAAGTCATTAACTAAGAAAATCAAGTTTTTGTGGCGAATTTTAGGATAAAATACATAGTCTGGAATTTTAATCTAGTATTAGATAAAATGCTCTTCCACTGAAAACCTAAGACTTTATAAGTAATTTTGGTCATTCTCCAAAAAGCAATTATGAAGACAAAATTGCAGACAAATCCATTTTCTATCAATGTAGGTGACGAGTACTCAAGACTCTACAGTCTTGTCTTAGAGTAGAGAAAGGTTCGAAGTCTACCGATCTTTGAGCATTTTTCTACGAAAAAAAAATTTCAAGTCATGACTTGTCATTTGACTTGACTAGAGAAAATTCTTGTTTACTTGATTTGTGACTTGGAAATATCGTGACTTGCCTGGCTCTGATGTGCTCACAATGTGATTTTTGTATATGAACGAGGCGAAGGATATATTTTCAAGATTTTAGCCTCTTCACTCAGAAATCAGGAAAACGATAAATATTTCTAAAAGTCCATTTTGCATAACAGTCTGAAAAAACCTTACGCAGTATAATTTCAGCTTAAATTTATTGTGAAATTGTTTGGTTATAATCTAGAGCACTTCAAATAATTCGTATGAAGCGCAAACGGCGTGGAAGAAAACTAGTTTTAGTAAGATAAGCATGATAAAAACCAAAATAAATTACTTTCTTTAGTTGAAAAAATAAAACAATGATTAATTATTCATTTGGAATATGAAAAATATTTTGTCACGATGCTATATTTCGTTTAATTTGACGAAAAAAACGTGTGAAATATTTTTTTCTCAAAATTTATTGAGAATCATATTTTCATCGTATGTTTTTTTGTCTAAAATTTCTCACTATATGCCTTTCAATATCATCTGCTTTAAAACCCATGCATAACAATGATGACTTATTCATGTAGGCAAGTAAATGACTAGATGATTAAATCATTTTCGATAGGGATAAGGTAAATTTTGTTGTTAAGAAAACTAAACTTGTATTTGATTTCGTAAAATAGAAACTATTTCCTGTATAATACATATAATTCTAATGATAGTTTCAACTTAAAATATGATGCAGAGTATAGATTGTACTATTATCATCAGGCAATATTCATCATCGTTTTCTCAAAGAAAAGTATTTTAATGAAGTAAGACACAAGAAAACTCTTTTTTAAAATATCGTTTATGTTAATCGGATCATGTATTGTCACATTTCTATTTAATATTTAGTAAACACTTAGTTTTTTTTCGTCAAATGAAATTAAAAATTGAGGATTTACCGTTCGAAAGTATTCTTATTTTTTATTTTGTTTCTTGTTCTATCAATGATGTACTTGGAAGTAAATAATTTTAGCCTGCAATAGAAGACGGTGTAACTATTCTCTCTTTCTTAACCTTTTATCACAAAGAATTAGAGAAATAATCCTACATTAATGTTATACAGAAAATCTGATTGAAACTGACACTGGTCTTATTCTGAAGTTTAGATAAAAGATCTATCCAGACCATGATTCCTATAGTAGAACTCGAATTTTTTGTGAAATTTGCTACAATAACATTGTACTAGGTACTATAGAAGGAATTCAACAGATTGTTAAAATAGAATTTCTACGTTTCTTTTTGATGGATTTGCTCACCTGTTATATCCTGGAGAAAGAGTGATAGAATTCTATTAGATTATTTTTGAAATACTTACAGAATACTAGCGAAGAACACTTCGAATCGGGTATTTTAATCTTGAATATTTTGAAGGAGAGAAACTTTTCGTACACACATTAACAAAATAATGTGATGACTTTTGATTTTTGGTTTTTTTACTATTTTTAGTGCTGCTTATTAGTACTAATTCTTCTTGTTATGTAATTAATCTTTTTGTAAATTAAAGAATATAAATATTAATCTTAGAGTTTTATAGATCTATACGTATACATATTCTAATCTTAAATATTATTCTTTATATCTTTTTTTTCAATAATAAATAATTTGTATTACATTTGTCATATGTATGTTTTTTTACAATGATTAAAATTTCAAATTAAAAGAGGAAGAGTATGTGCTTTTTTACGTATATATATATCTAACGAGAGACACGTACACATTTTTCCATATATATTTTTGTTCTATTCTACTTATTATTCATTATTTCTGATTTTGTACTCGACGTTCTACGAAAGAAAATTGTTTTTCTTTTATAAGTAAGTCAAATCTTTCACTGGTTTTTAAATATACCAAGGTAAAAAAGTTACTGCTTTTATTCAAGAGATTTTATATTGTTTCATTTTAGAAAAAAGAATGAGCTAGAGTGAAGTTCATTATCACACATCTATGAACACTTAGTTAGATTTTTAAAGTGTTTTTCATGACTTCTTGTTAACATCCTTTATATCTCTAATGGATGTCTCAGAATAAAATTGCACAAAATCTTGGTTCTCCCATTTTCTATTTATAAAAAGAAGTCTTTTATATACCAAACGATAAATAATTTAATTCTCTACAAGATTATACATTTATTTTTAAGACTGATGTTTGGCACAGTAACTCTAACAAGAAAAGTTCCAAATTTTTTAACTGCATCACGCAGTTTTAAAGTGCAAACTGCTCTCGTTTTTCAATTGTTTATAATAAGTACAAAAAAATTTGAAATAATTTTATTACTGTCAAATGGTGAAGAATTTCATGCTTTACAAAAACTTTTACTTAAAGTTAATTTATTTCAATTGCTAGTGGCTTTAACACATAAATGTCCAAGTCCACCGACGTTTCTTAGCAACAAAAAAAACGTTTTCACTATTCCAGTATAAAATCTAAAGTTCAAATCATTAGTTTATAGACCAAAAAATCCAGAATTTTGTGCTCTATTAGTCTGTGTAACTTATAAATAAATCTACTACTTTTACTTAGAAAGGAAATATTGGATGTGATGACCAAAAAACAGGAGAAAATGACTTTTTTCAAAGACTCTTTTTGGCTCCAATTTCATCTAATAAACCATCATTTCTCATTAAAAAATAACTTATCATATTGTAGAAGATTTCTTCCTAAATTTTTTGATATACCTTGTTTTATTGAATAAGTGATTCATAAAAAATCGATTTTTTGAAGGCGTAGTTGAAAAAAGTTTGAACTTTCCTTGTTAGAGTTGTGCCAAACATCAGTCTTAGAAATAAATGTACAATCTTGTAGAGAATCTAATATTCTAATATTTCCGTAGTGAATGTACTAAATCCAAGGTACCTAAGTATGAATCAGTCTCTGCATTTTTAGTGAAAATCATGACTAATTACTTAAACAGACTGATTAAATTTTCAATTACTGAAAACGTTTTAACGAAGATAACCGTGCACGTTTCAATTACAGTTTTGCTTTGCGTGATATACCATGTAAACACCATTTACTTTTGGAAAATAATAAAGTTTTTTGACGCTAACAGGCAGATGACTCCCTTGACATGCACAAAATCGTATTGTCTGCTACACAACAGTACCATAGTGTGTACAGTAGGCATTTTTCCATAGGGCAGGCGGACATCTGCTTTTATGAATTGAAAAATGATTATTTTCGCATAATATTGTCAAATTTTAAGAGAAGTAAGATAAATCAAATTCGAAAAAAAATTTTTCCGATAAAAAATCTCCGAGGAGGACTCTTACCCTGAATTTTTATTAAACAATTTTTATTTGTAAAACTAATAAGTGATACATCACTTGATGTAGTTTTTTGCGCTGATTCCGAATATCTATAATTTATCTTGATAAAATTGTTTTTGATATAAGAAGAAAACTCAACTTTACCTTAAAAACCAGGGTTTTTTGAAAAACCTGTATCTCCGTCTAGTAAAAAAAAACTGCATGCTCTATAGATGCAAGACACCAAGATGGACGTTTGAAGTCAATTTGAACGTTATCAGAGTTTAAGAAAATTTAAGAAGTTGATTGCACTGATAACGTAGCGAGGAAAAGGGATATTTTGGGAAAAACTGCGGATTTTTTATCCACACCTTTTAAGATAAAGCAAAAATTTTCTCAGCATCAGATAGTTGGCATTTTTCTGCATCAGAAAATATCAAAACGAAGTGTTTCGACCGCTTTGTTCGAAATATACAATTAACATTTTCAAAAAGGCGCTAATTAGTACGTGGATTTTTTTCTGCTAATTTTCTGAACAAGGAAAACTATTAAAAAAAATATTTTCATCATTAAATCGGTCGTTAGCCAAATACATATGATGGTATTCAGATCTCAAAAACACGCACTTACGATTCTGAGCCAAACTTCTGCCTATATGCCCACTGTGTAGTAATCACTGGCGGATGGTCTATTTAAAAACGATTAATTAAACATTGCCTTTATTATGTGAAAATATGTCTCTAAAATATTCTTTTAGGTAGTCACATACCGAAATATACTTCATCGAGGCACTTGGACAGATACACAAAAAGTATCTTAAAGTAGTCGATTATCTAAAAGCTTTTCGGGTACTAATGACATTACCTGTAGCAAGGTACCTGTCCACAGGTTCCTTGTGCTCAGTAAATTCACTGAGATTATCTTCTTTTTTTTATAGGTGATTAATCAAAAATGAAATTTGCTGAACATTTGGCTGCTCATGTGACGCCTGAATGGCATTCTCAATATATTCGCTATGATGAAATGAAAGATCTTTTGTATGCTGCCGTCGAAAAAGCTCAACCGTTTATCGATGATACTGATAACACTATGCGTGAAAATTATTTTTTAAGAATTGATGAGTTTTTTTTTCAACACTGTGAAAAAGAAGCGTCTAAAATTAATACATTTTTTGCCGAAAAATTAGCAGAGTAAGTTCTAGTATTTAAAATTCTTAATTCTAATAATTGATAAATATATATGTCTATTTTATTTTATTAGAGCATTAAGACGATTAGAAACATTGAAAACTGAATTACGCTTAATGACTCATCACGAATATCACCGTCGATATGCTCATCGAAATAATATAGGTATCGATGAAGAAGGTGGTTTGAGTCCAAGTGGCACTGTGATAGACGGACATCAACGAGGTACGATGGTTCCATTGACGCGTGTTCTACCAGAACGATTTATTGCACATACAATAGAAAAACGTCAACAACGAACACAGTTTCGTAAAATTCATGATGTAAAACTAGCATTTAGTGAGTTTTATTTAATGCTTGTTCTATTACAAAATTATCAAACATTAAATTTTACTGGTTTTCGTAAAATATTGAAAAAACATGATAAATTATTTCAAACAACACGTGGAGAAGAATGGAGGTAATACTAATATCTCATTATTGTTGATATGAATATTATTAATGAATATACAACCCAATTTTAGAAAATTACATATTGATTATACACCATTTTATACAACAAAACGTGTTGATCAATTAATTAATGAAGTTGAAACAATGTACACAGATGAATTAGAGTTAGGAAATCGACCGAAAGCAATGAAACGTCTTAGAGTACCACCATTAGAAGAAAAACAATCACCAGCTGTGACATTTCGTGTTGGTTTGTGTATCGGTATGAATTATTTAACAACATCATTTTCATAAGAAAAATTATTTGATTTTCTATTTTAGGTATGTTATGCTTATTAATACCAATAGTGATTGCTTTGGGTGTCATATTTCACGAGAATCACTCAAAAAAACCAATTGTATGGCGTCAAGCATTATTATTATATCGTTCAACATTCTTAGTTATCTTACACATTATTCTTGTTGGTTTTAATGTTTATGGTTGGTCATCATCAGGTGTTAATCATGTACTTATATTTGAAATAGATCCTCGAAATCATTTAACTTATCAACAATTTTTAGAAGTTGGTACATTTTTATTTGTACTATGGTTTCTAAGTTTTATATCATTCATATTAACATCTTATTTTGATTTTCATCCATTTATTCAACCAGTTGGTTTTTTAATACTTCTCATATTATTTTTAATCAATCCTACACCAACATTATATCATCAGGCACGTTTTTGGTTTTTACGTACATTGGGTCGTGTATTATTAGCACCATGGTACAAAGTTGGATTTGCTGATTTTTGGCTTGGTGATCAATTAACATCGTTAGAATTATTATTTTTTGATTTAGAATATTTTATTTGTTTTTATGTATTTGATATAAATTGGTGGTCAGTATCTAATGAACCAACAATTAAACGTGGTATATTTTGTAGTAATCGAACACAAATTATATTTCAAACAATTTTATTACTTTTACCTAGTTGGTTTCGTTTTTCACAATGTTTAAGACGTTATCGTGATACAAAACAAAAATTTCCACATTTATTAAATGCTGGGAAATATGCCAGTGGTTTCTTTGTAGTTAGTGCTAATTCATTACGTCGTGCAACTCTCTTAGATTATGAACAAACACCGATAAAAAATCCATTTTTCTATTTTTGGATAATAGCATCAGTTATTGGTTCAAGTTATAAACTTGTCTGGGATTTAAAAATGGATTGGGGATTTTTTGATAAGAATGCTGCTGAAAATAAATTATTAAGAGATCAATGTGTTTATCCGTCTAAAATCTATTATTATATTGCCATATGTGAAGATATTTTATTTCGTTATTTATGGGTAATTAATATATTTCTTCATTTTAAAACACGATTAGCTGAATATGCAGATGTTATCGGTTTTATATTTGGTCTTATTGAAATATTTCGACGTTTTATATGGAATTATTTTCGTTTAGAAAATGAACATTTAAATAATTGTGGACAATTTCGAGCAGTGAGAGATATATCAATTACTCCAATAATAAATTCAACAGATTATTCAACATTGGAAGATATGATGGATAAAAAAGATGGAGTTAAAAATCGAAAAAAATCAAAGAGACATGAATTGATAAGTAATAAAAAAACAATAAAAAAGTATAAACAACAACAATCGATAACAACAACAGATAATAATATTATGAATGATGATCAAATGCAGACAAAAACTGATACACTAATGGAATTATTCAATACTGATGCAATATTATCATCATTACAATTAAATTCTAACATAGAACAGGATATTGGAGACAAGAATGAATGAATAAATTATCGAAGAAAATAGATAAAGGTCATTTACTTTCTCTTTTTTTTTTGTGTCTTTTTAATACATGCAACAAGATAAAACACGCTTTCCATTTCAACAATGCTCTACTAAAAAAATGATGTTGCAATCACACTCAACTCTAGAATTTAATTCAGTCTTCCATTTTATATTAATTTCTAGTCATTTATCAAATGTACTTTCGTGTAGCATATGACTTTTGTATCATGCAGTAAACACTTGTTAAGTTTTTTCAAGAATCGCATCAAGTTTAATATTAAGAATTCATAATCAGAATCATAGTCCCTATTTTTATCTAGATATTTATACATATATTTTCAGATGTTTGAATAGTTTATTTATTTTTGTTGTTCCTTATGTTTTTTCTAATGCTTAAAAGAGATATTTTATTCTTGTTTTTTTGTTATTTTTAAAACACCCAATAATTGTGAACATATTTTTTATATTTTAGGTTTACCAAAAACTGTTTCTAACGCCATTTAAAAAAAAAATAATATTTTTGGACAAATTTTATACGAAAGTAGTTTGTACTCAGTATTGTATAAAATACCGAAAGTCGCCATAATTTGAGTATATACATCGCGTAATACTACCAGAAGTATGTAAAAGTGTCTTCTGTAGAAATGAGTGTAGGATTCCCTCATTTAACGTTTAAAATGCTTTTGATTCTGGGGCCTTAACCCTTTGTTTACCGTTGCTCGCGTCAACCGACGTTTGAGCGCCCGACATTTCAGCGCCGACATTTGAGCGCCGACATTTGAGCACCCGACATTTGAGCGCCCGACATTTGAGCGATCCCGACATTTGAGCGTACGACACTTGAGCT